GGTGGCGCACTGGATAGTGCGCCGCTTGGGAAGCGCGGCGGCGCTCCCGTCCGAGGGTTCGGATCCCGCATACAGACTGGTTCCCGCTCACTGGCTGAGCGAGGCGCGGGAGCAACACCGAGGGTTGCAATCCCGTTGCCGGTCCCTGGTCCAGTACGGGGGCGACACTGAGGGTTGCGATCCGTTGCCGGACACGGAAAAAAGACAAAAGACAAAAAATAAAAATAAAAAAATAAAAAAGATAGATATCATACAAAGTATCTTCCCTGACCACAACAAGATGAAGTTAGAACTCAAACAGAAAGAAAAGTGTAAAATTAACAAATATGTGGAAATTAAACAATGCTCTTGTAAACAATCAATAAGTCAAACAAGAAATCACAAAAGAAATTAGAATATACTTAGAGACAAATAAAAACAAAAACACAATATATCAAAACTTAATGGAATGCAGCAAAAGCAGTACTCAGAGGGAAATTTATAGCTATGATGCCTATGTTTAAAAAGAAGAAATATCTCAAATTAATAATCTGACTTACACCTTAAGGAACTAAAAAAAATAGAGCAAACAAAACCCAAAGTTAGCAGAAAAAAGGCCATAACAGATAAGAGCAGAGACAAATGAAATAGAGGAAAAGGGGCTGGCAGGTTAGTTCAGTTGGTTAGAGCATGGTGCTGATAACACCAAGGTCAAGGGTTCAGATCCCTGTACTAGATAGCTGCCAAAAACAAACAAAGAAACAAACAAACAAATAAATAAATAGAGAAAAAGAATAGAAAAAAATCCATAAAACCAAAAGTCAGTTTTTTGAAAAGATTAACAAAATGGACAAACCTTTGGCTAGGCTAAAAAAAAAACAAAAGAGAGAAGACACAAATAACTAAATTAGAAATGAGACTGGCAACATTACTACCCATGATACAGAAACAAACAGAGTTATAAGAGAATACAATGAGCAACCAAATAGCAACAAATCAGATAATATAGAAGAAATGGACAAATTCTTTAAACACATATTTACCTAAACTGACTCAAGAAGAAATAGAAAATCTCAACAGATCTACAACAAGTAAAGATATTGAATCAGTAATTTAAAATCTCCCAGCAAAGAAAAGTTCTGGACCAACATGGCTTCGCAATTTAGTTCAACCAAACATTTAAAGAAGAATTAACACAAATCCTTCTCAAACTCTTCCAAAATTAAAGAGAAGGAAACACTTCCTAACTCATTCTATGCAGCCAGCATTACCCTAATACCCAAACCAGATAAAGACATCACAAGAAAAGAAAATTACAGACTAGTGTCCCTTATGAATATAGATACAAAAATCCCCAACAAAATATTAGCAAATAGAACCCAACAGCATATGAAAAGGATTATTTACCATGATTAAGAGGGATTTGTGCAGGAATGCAAAGGTGGTTCAACATAAAATCAATCAATGTAATACATCACATTAATAGAATAAAGAGAAAAAAACACATGTAATCATTTCAACTGATGCAGAAAAAGGCATTTGACAAAATCCAACAATCTTTTATGATTAAAAATCCTTAGAAAAGTAAGAATAGAAAATTTCTCAACATGATAAAGGATGTTTATGAAAAACTCACAGCTAACATGGTATTCAATGGTGAAAGATTTTTTTTTTCCTTTAGTCATTTTTCTTTTGTGCTGGTGTTCTTATTTTTTTCTTTGTCAATGGTGGAAGATTGAAAGCTTTCCCTCTAAGATCAGGAATAAGACAAAGATGCCCACTTTCACCATTGCTACTCAACACTGTACTGAGAGTTCTACCCAGAGTTATCAGAGAAGAAAAGGAAGTAAAATTCATCCAGATTGGAAAGGAAGAGGTAAAACTATCTCTATTCGCAGATGACATGATCCTATATACAGAAAATCCAAAAGAATAGACAAGATACCTACCACAGTTAATAAAAGAGTTTAGCAAAGTTGCAAGGTACAAGATCAACACACGAAACTTAGTTGTGTTTCTATAAGTCAGCACTGAACAATCTGAAGAGGAAATTAAGAAAACAATCCCATTTACAATAACATCTAAAAGAATTAAATAATTAGGAGTAAATCTAACCAAGGAGGTGAAAGACTTGTACACTGACAACTACAAAAGGTTGCTAAAAGAGATTAAAGAATACCTGAATAAATGGAAAGACATTCTGTGTTCATGGATAGGACGACTTTACATTTTTAAGATGTCAGTACCACCTAAAATGATCTACAGATTTAACACAATGTATATCAAAATGCCAACAACATTTTTTGAAGAAATAGAAGCAGATCCTCAAATTCGCATGGAATTGCAAGGGGCCCCCAACAGCCAAAACCATCTTGAAAAAGAAAAATAAATTTGGAGGACTTAAACTTCCCAACTTTGAATTTACTACAAAGCTATAGTAATTAAAACAGTATGGTACTGGCATAAGGGCAGACATATAGAACAATGAAATAGAATAGAGAACCCAGAAATAAACCCAACCCAGAAATAAACCCTCAAATATATGGCCAAGTGATTTTTGGCAAGGGAGCCAAGACCATTTAATGGGGAAGGGACAGTCTTTCCAACAAGTGGTGAAGGGAAAACAAGATATCCACATGGAAAAGAATAAAGTTGAACCCTTACCTTATACCATATACAAAAATTTAAATGGCTCAGAGATCTAAATTAAAAGCTAAAACTAAAAGAGAAGAAAACATTGGGGGAAATCCTTATAACATTGGAATTGGTATCGATTGCATAGATATGACACCAAAAGCACAGACAACAACAAAATAGATAAATTGAACTTCACCAAATTAAGAACTTTTGTTCATCAAAGGACTATCAAGAAAGTGAAAAAACCTAGAGATAGAGAATGGGAGAAAACATTTGCAGATTGTATATCTGATGATGAATTAATATTCGGAATATATAAAGAACTCCTACAACTTGACGACAAAAAACAAACAACACAACTCGAAAATGGGCAAAGGACTTGAGTAGACATTTCTTCAAAGATATACAAGTGGACAATAAGTACATGAAAAGATGCTGACCGTCATTAATCATTAGAGAAATGCAAGTTAAAATCACAATGAGATACAACTTCACACCAACTAGGATGGCTATAATCAAGAAAATAGATAATAATAAGTGTTGGTGGGGATGTGGAGAAATTGGAACCCTCATGCATTGCTGGTGGGAATGTAAAATAGTGCAGCTACTGTGGAAAAGTTTGGCAGTTCCTTAAATAACTAAAAATAGAACTACCTTATCACCTAGCAATTCCATTCCTAAGTATACATGTAAAAAAAAATCGAAAGCAGATATCTGTACACCAATGTTCACAGCTGCACTATTTACAAAACCCAGAGGTGTAAACTACCCAAGTGTCTATCAACAGATGAATGAATAAATGTGGTATACACATTCAATGAAATACTACTCAGCCATAAAAAGGAACGAAATTTTGATTTTGATATATAGATGGATCTTGAAAACATTACATTCAGTGAAATAAGCCAGACACAGAAGGACAAATGTTATATGATTCCACCTTATATGAGGCACCTAGAATGCGCATTCGATAGAGACGAAATCGAATGGAGGTTGCCGGGGACTGGGTCAGGGTGGTTTGGGGAGTTATTGTTTAATTGGTACACTTAATATTGGGGCTGATGAACAAGTTTTGGGTATAGATAGAAGTGATGGGTACGTAGCACTGTGAATGTAATTAATGCCACTGAATTTTACACTTACAAATGGTTAAAACGATAAATATTATAGTGTGTATATTTTACCATAATAAAAAACATTTTAAGTGGGGAAAGGATGTAAACGGGTTGAAGTTTTATAAAAAGTGGTCAGGGAAGGTGTCAGTCCAAGAGTGACCTTTAAGTAAAACCCTAAAGGAGGTGGAGGACCATGTGGGCATCTGCGGGAAGGGCGTTCTGGTAGAAGGAGGAGCACGGACAATGGCTCTACCGGGAGTGTGAGAGGCATATTCGGAAACAGGGAGGGGGCCAGTTGGCTGAAGCTGAGCGAGCCAGAGGGACTGGGAGGAGGTGAGGGAAGATCAGGCCATTGTAAGGACTTTGGTTTCTGCTGGGAGTAAGCAGGAGCCACAGGAGGGTTTTGAGCAGAAGGACGTGATCTGACTTGAGATTTAACAGGATCCAGTAGAACAAAGAATGCCTGGGTACCGAACTCACCAGCCAGATTGCGAACCACAGGAGGAAGCCCCCGGGGTTCCCCCCGGATGCGCTTCCCCAGCCACCACCGGGGGGCAGCAGAGTCTAGCCGAGCGCCGAGCAGGCTGCTTGGGGCGCCCCGCCCGGCCCCTCCCTGGGGCGCAGGTGGCTAGTCCCCAGGAATCCTTAGGCGGAAACCGGTCCCAGGCCCCGCGCCTCCGTTCGGCCCCTTTAAGAGCCAGTTTCCGGAGGCCTGACCTGGGGGGCTCCAAAGATGCCCAGGGGCCGAACCACAAGTTGGGAAGGTAGAGGGGAGGTGGCTAAATCTTCCGACGTCGAATTCCAACTTTTCTTGGGCCTGATACCCCTCGGGCGTCCCCAAAGGGGCAGAGCTTTCCTTCTAGGGACTTCACTTGGTTCTTTAAGTCGTCTAACTAGCAGGCACAAGAGGCCCGCAGCGCCTCCCTCCACCCAGACCAGAGGAACCCCGGTGCGAGTGGAAAAGCCAGGCTCTACCGACGAGCTTCCCAGGACCTTGCTGAGGGCTCGCCCCTCCCCGCAGGGAGCACCTAGGCGGGTCCACCGGCAGCCCGGGGGGGGGGGGGGGGGGGGGCGGGAGGGAAAAGGTGACAGCAGGACCCGCCCCCTATCAACAGGTGAATCACCCCAAGTAGGTCTCTGTTCTCGTGGATTTCGGTCCGCTCGGCTTGGCCGAGAACGAGGGGGCCGCCCGGGACCCAGGGTTTGCGGGGGCCCTCCCGACGGGCCGGTCACTTGGTTCCAGCCCTGGGGGCCGGAACTCACCTGGGCCATCCCACTTCCGGGGAGGGAGGCGGAGGAGCCCCTCCCCACAGCCCACCCCTAAGCCCAGCCCTCGGCTCCCACCCTTGTGTACCTGGGCCGATCCATTCCTCAGAGCGCACAGGGGGAGGAGTGGCTTGGAGAGCCTCGGTGGGTCCAGCAAGTTCCTCCCCGAAAGCCGAAAGCGTGCACTTCGTCCACGTTGTTTCCGTTCACTAAAACTCCTAGGACGCGGCAGAGTGGCCTTGGAATAGGGACAAGGAACGGAAGCGGGAAGGGGAGGAGCGTTCACCCCTCCCGGTCTTGGTGCGCGCCGCGCCCCCTACCCTCCTGGTACTTGGCAAAGGACGCGCGGGCTCGGCGCGCCCAGACGGCCGTGATGGCGCTGGTGGCCCGCGGCCTGTCCTGTGGGCTGGGTTCCCACCCGGCCACCCCAGGCCGGGGCGCGGTCGTCTTCGTGTGGCTATGGCTCAGCACCTGGTGCACAGGTAGGGGTGTGGGGCTCCTGGTGCTGCGGAACGGCGGAAAGGCACTCTTGAAGGGGCAAGGACAGAGTTGTACGCGGCCGAGCAGGCGGGAGAGCGAGGGAGGGGGGCGCACCCAAACTGGGACCTCCCGATCCTCTGGGTCTTAGGAGATCGCTGTGTGCCGGAGTGAGGGGAATTCCCCATCCATGTCGGGGAGTGCTTCCCCCACCCTTGTATGGAGAATGCAGGAAGTGAAACTCCCCGGAGCGGCAGGGAGAAAGGGACCCTTTGTGGGGCAGGCGCGAAGGACAGCCAGATCACTGGGAAAGGCTGGGGACTTGGGCGCATTCCGAGATTTCTAAGTGTTAGGGTAACGGGGAAAGGACACACTAGGGAGGGCTGGATCAGACTCTTCCTGGAGGGAGAGATCAAGAAACAGTGCCCAGGCCTCCGGTGGGTGTGGAATTGGAGACACCTCACCCGCCTCCATCGGGCTCTGGAGTATCTGTACATGAGAGTCTGGTAGGACGGACTTATGCACTTGAAACCATCTTCTGCTGGCAACCTTTTACCTGGAAGGGATGTTTGTTTGGGTGGGGGTGAGGGGGCTCTATCTTTCAGCAAGCACTTTTGGCGCATTCATTTGAGGTGGCTTTGCGTAGGGGTGGTGGGAGGCTGATGGAGATATTGTGGGGACTTTAGGGACAACGTTGGCAAAGCAGTTCAGTCAGACAACTCCAACCCCCTCCCCCGCCCACTTCACAAAACCCCGGGGAACTTGGAACCTTTAGAGGTTTGTTTTGAAGTGGGGCCTTGCGGGGGTGGCGGGGGAGACAGGGGGCATCGCTCTGGCCATTTGGGCTTGCCTGTACAAGCCACAGAGGGATGTCCCTTTCTGTGAGAGTGGCAAAGGGAAGAGGGGACTGGATAGAGGCCACAGTCTGGAAAGAAGGATGGAGAGGACGTTCCAAAGAATCCGGCCGTGTGACCTTCTAGCTGTCACTTCAGCCCCATGGGTCTATAAAATGGGCATGATTATCGTAGCTACTAGCTACCTTGCCCGTCCTGGGGATTAAGGAACAATGTATGCCAGGCGTCCCGTGAAACCATACTCTTGTGAGCGTCAAGCTAGATGACAAGTGATGTTACTCATTCCTGTTGAAGCACCTCCCTGACCTCACAGCGATCCCTGCTGACTCTCCTTTTGCCTCAGCCCCTGCCAGCGCCATCCAGGTGACTGTGTCAAACCCCTACCACGTGGTGATCCTATTCCAGCCCGTGACCCTGCCCTGCACCTACCAGATGACCACGACCCCCACAGTACCCATTGTGATCTGGAAGTACAAGTCCTTCTGCCGGGACCGCATCGCTGATGCCTTCTCCTCAGCCAGTGTTGACAACCAGCTCAATGCCCAGCTGGCGGCTGGTAACCCAGGCTATAACCCCTATGTGGAGTGCCAGGACAGCGTACGCACCGTCAGGGTTGTGGCCACCAAGCAGGGCAATGCTGTGACCCTGGGAGACTATTATCAGGGCCGGAGGATCACTATCACAGGAGGTACGTTGGGTGGGACGGGGGAGGAGGCAGGGGGTGAGGCTGGGCTTGGATGGTGGGGCTGGCTTCCTCCTACCCAACCTGGAGTCCTCACCTGGAAGCTCTTGAGCGCCAGTGTCTGAAAGGACCGATGAGGGAAAGGATCCTTCTGTCCATCCATCCATTCCTTTAACAGCAAAATTTATCGAGCACCTAACATGTACTGTTCTAAGCCCTGGGAATGCAGCATTTGACAAAATCATCAAATCACTTCCTTCATGGAGCTCACACTGCAGTGAGAGAGACAAACACAACATATACTGTCAAGTGCTTGTAGATAAAACTGGGTGATGGAGAGAGATAGGCAGGGGGTTCTATAATAATACTAATAATATCAGCAATCGGAAGTAAAATTTATATTTGACAATTTATAAAGGGCCCCGTGTGTGCCAGGCTCTAATCCAGGTTTACATGGATTAGCGCATTCAGACCACACAGTAATTTAATGAATAGATTATATTACTGTCATTTTACAGAGGCCCAGAGAGAGGAAGTGACTTGCATAGGGGCACACAGCTAGTAACAGAGCTGGGATTCTAACTCAGCCACTCTGGGTCTAGTCTCCAAGCTCTTAACCCCTTTGCTTGCCCAGGATGGTCAGCAAAGGGCTCACAGAGGAGGTGGCATGAGTGAACTGGAGGGACAAGAGATTTCAGTGGAGAAAGCCTACAACTTGCCAGGCACTTTACACATTCTCCCATGGAGTCCTCTCTGCCACATTTTACACTCGCAACAGCTGAGGCACAGAAAGGTTAAGTAGCTCATCTAGGCACACAGGTAGGAAAGGGCTGGAGTTGGGATTGGAACACAGGCAGCCCTGACAGCCCTTGCTCTTAACCATAATGGTGCCTCCCGGTAGGAAGTGCCTGTTGAGCCTAAGAAAGGAGCAGTGGGGAAGTCATTCATTCATTTATTCATCCATTCATTTGGTATTTATTGAGTATCTACTGTGTGCCAGGAGCTGTTACAGGTGCTGGGGATAGAGTGGTGATCAGGATGGTTGAGGTCCCTGCCGTCAAGGAGATGACATTCTAGTGGGGTGAGCGTGGCAGTAAACAAGCAAACAAAGAGAGAGGAAGAGAATTTCAGACAGTACTAAGTGCTACAAAGAAAATAGCACCGGGTGATGTGCTATGTGGAATGACTTGGACACACCCACCTTAAGACCTCTGCGAGTGTGATTTGAGGAGGGCCTGGGACTGGGCCCTAAAGGATGTGAAGGCAGAGAGGAAGGCAAGGGGTCGCAGGGAAGAAGTCTCCCCCATTAATGGACATATTCTCTTACTGTCTTGAACAAGGATTAGAGTTTTAATCTTGGGCACGGACAGGGGCAGAGGGGGAGGGAGCATCCCTTTGCAGACCCCTAGAGACCAGGCTGTGGAGCACACTCCTTCTGTCACTTATAGACCATGGATAAAAGGCAAGCTTCCAGGGACTGATCCTGCCAGTCCTGTTTCAGAGCAGGAACCAGACTTGTCCTAAATTTTCATGGGCAGCTCAGTTCTAAGCATCCTGCTGTTCTTGAGGTTGGAGGGCCTCTTGGGGGCTCAACCTATACAGGTCCCCTCCCCTCTAACCCAGAGACAGCTCCAGCCTGGACCAGGCGTGACTGCATATCCCCCATCAGGACAAACCAAATACTGAGGCAGCCCTCAAAGGCTGGCCGTAATCATGCCTCCTCTGCTCAGCCTAGAACTCCAGATGACCCTGATGCCATATAGGTGGGGGCGGGGTGGGGGGGGGAATTCATGCTCCACAGCCCTCACAGGCCCAGTCTTTCAAGCCTCCTTGATCTGAGCCAGTGTTTGCCATGATTGGTAAATACCCATTGTGTGTCTGTTCTTTCAGGAAACCTAGTAGCCATGAGCACTTCCTCCACTTCAGCTTTGAGGATGGGGAAAGTGGACTTCCCTGGGGTCTTCCTAGGTTCACCAACTGAACTGGTTTTAAAAGTGAAAGTAAGCCTGGGCAAACCAGAAGGTTGTTTGCCCTGGGTGTACCTCAGCTCAGGGTGGATCCTGCCCCCCACCATCCCTCCCTGTTTGGGTGATGTGGGGTGTCTGCATAGGAGGCCTTGTTTCTACTTCCTCAGGCTGCTTGGGCCACATGTGCCCCCCACTCTCTGCAGCACTAGGGCACAGAGCCCTTGGGACCTTGGAAATCATGAGGGCCACCTCTTGTCATGTGTTGATAAGGAACTAGAGGCCAGAAATGTGGAGGCAGCCCAGCTTCTGTTCCCATTGGAGACCTGGCATCTTCTCCCTGCATCTGAAACGATGAAGCAGTGCCCAGCCCATGTGATCCCAGGGCCAGATGGGGACCAGGAACTGGGTGCACCTTGCAGGAAGGGGGTGGACTCATGCCTTAGGATTGATCAAAAGAAGCCGGAAAGCTGTATTTTTTGTAGGTTTTGAAAACATCACACAGGCCAAACAAAATGCATTGAGGCCTAGATCCGGCCCATGAGACCCCACATTTCAATTCCTGACCTATAGAATCCTTTGCCATGGCAGGTGGTTCCTGCCTACCTCTTTCGCTTTGATCAGGGACCAGCTCTTGAGCTCCAGTGTTGGAGAAGCATGGTCACAGTCTGACTTAAAGATACAGGTGGAAAAATGATGGGCCAGGAAGGCACTGCAGAAAATCTAGAGGATTTGGGAGAATGTAGTTTAGAGTTTTATGAGGATTCAGTGAAAGAAGATATGCAGAGGGCCCAGCACGTAGTAAGAGCTCAATAAACAGTGGCTAGACGCCTGACTGTGGGGGGGAGTCTTGTCCTCCACTCCCTCATGCCTTCTCCGAAGGTCACCTTATCTGAAGGTCTTCCCTGCCTCCTTACTTACAATTGCATAACCCCCACCTCCATGCCTGGTACTTCTGTCTGCCTTGCCTGACTAATTCTCCATACTGCGTATCATCATCTGATACACAATGTAGTTGAGCTTTTTATTTGTCTCCCTTTCCCAGTTAGAATATGAGCTCTATAAGGGCAAGGATTTATATCTGTTCTCTGTAGCAGTGGTTCTCAAACACTGTGGTCTTAGGGCCTCTTTACACTTTGTTATTGAGGTCTTCAAAGAGCTTTTGTTTTTATAGCTGGCAAACTGAGAAGAGTTTAAAAATATTTTAAATGATAATAAACTCATTATATGTTAACATAAATAACATACTTGTTATGAAAGAAATAACTATGTTGCTGAAACTAAACAAAAAAATTTTTAATGAGAAGAGTGATGACACTGTTTTATATTTTTGCAAATCTCTTTAAAGTCTGGCTGAATTGAAGAAGCTGGATTCCCAAAGCTGCTTCAATCTTTCGTGATATCTATCACACGTCGTGTAGCCTCTGGAAAACTCCATAGTACACTCATGAGAGATTAAGGGGAAAGGGCAAACAATGTCTTAGTATTATTATGAAAATAACTCTGACCTCATAGAGGCCCTGAAAAGGTCTTGGGGAATGCAGGGTCCATAGATATGCTTTGAGAACCATTGCTCTCTAGTATACCAGATGCCTCAAATACTGCTGGAACATAGGCTGCACTCAATAATTAATTTTTTGAATGAATGAATCAAGTGTCCACTTGAATATTGCCATGTGCCCAGGATGGTGGAACTAACAAGAAAAGCTAAGAAAGGTCAGCATGAGAAGAGAGGGAATTCCTTTCTGCTCCTGGCCAGGCACTGGGGACGCAGCAGTGACTGGGACCACGTTCTCACAGGGGCCATAGATGGTCAGTCCCTAGGGTGGCAGATGTAGTTCAGCATCTGGGCAGGAGAGCCAGGTGAGCTAGGATGGCCAGGGAACACTCCTCTAAGCCAAGGCTTGAGTAACGAGAAGGAATCAGCCCTGAGCAGGTCTGAAAGAACACAGTGCCGGGAAGACAGAATAACACGGGCACAAGCCAGGCAGCCCAGCACAAGGGGGGACAGTGCAGAGGCCGGTGTGTCTTGAGGCTAGTGAGCTAAGGAGATGGAAGGGGTGAGGGCGGTGTGGGAAGGGAACCAGTGGCCAGATCACGCCGAGGCCCTGTGGGCCCAGGAAGGTTGGAATGATGTAGACAGACATTGTTGAAAGGAGGGTCTTCCTGTGGATGTGCAGCCTCCCTTCTGAAGAAGGAAGAAGGCTTTGGTTCTTTCTTTCCTTAAGCAGTTGTTAGGTGCTCCCAGTGGGTGCCATGTGCTGCTCCCACAGAGGGTAGCAGGTCTATGGCGCAAGTTGGTAGAGGTAGCCAGGTCTGTGGGAGCCGGAGCAGCTGGGAAGAAAGTGGCCAGAAGCCGAGAGGATTTCCTGGCTGGGGTGCCATCCTGTCCCGCACAGGCGAATGACTGAAGGGATTTCACTAATTAGGGCCTGAGGAGTGGAGAGGAAACCGGATGTGCCGAAAGACTTTGATTAGTGGCGTAATTATCAGGCTCCTTGCGTCCCCAAGCTCTGGGCCTGACCTGGAATGTGGGGATGGAAGGGTGGGGGGTGGACTAGGGAACTGGGCAGGTCTCTTGCTCCCACATGTCCACACCTGCTCTCTATCAGTGCCTGGGCATCTCCTGACATCTGGAATCTGGCCTATTTATCTCTGCCTCCTTACTCTGGGCCCATGCCCCTGGGTCCACACTGGGTCTGTGACAGTTCACATCAGAGGACTTAGGATGACGGATCTAAGAGGTGGTCCAGAGGATGGTTAGAAGTTGAAGAGCACAGGCTCTGGAGTCAGACTGTCCTAGCTCCACCACTGACAGCTGTACACCTTTGCGCAGACTAGGTCATCTCCCCAGACCTTTTGTCTCATCTACAAAACAGGAATGATAGTGCTACCCACTGCACAGATGTCTTGAAATCTGTGTTGAGTGTCTAGAACAGTGCATAGAAGGAAGTGTGCCCTTGGTAAGAAGCATTTTCCACTTGACTTACTGGCAGCCCCTAACCTCTTGACCCCTCTCCTGAGGTGCTGGGCCTGCTGGGGTTGGGCGCCCCCTCTCCAGAGGTGCACTCACACCATCTCCTCCTGACCCAGATGCAGACCTGACCTTTGAGCAGACGGCGTGGGGGGACAGTGGTGTGTATTACTGCTCGGTGGTCTCAGCGCAGGACCTCCAGGGGAACAATGAGGCCTACGCAGAGCTCATCGTCCTTGGTGAGTGGGGCTGGGCCCTGGGGGCCTGGTAAGGGGGGATGGGAAACAGCCCCTTCTGCTGTCCCCTTGTGTGTGTTCACCCTCCACCCTCTAGCTCACTCTCTGGCCTCTGTCGCCTGCTTTGCTCTCCCTTCGAGGCGCTGCCAGTCACTTGGGCTTATCTGTGCCCACACCCCAGGCAGGGGCCCCTCCCCCAGCGATGTTTCAAATCAGCCAGAGCCAAACTAAGAGTGGAGAGAATTGGGGTCCCTATCTCTTCTCAGTCTCATTTTTTAAAAATACAGACAGGGGCAGGGTTGCTTGGTAGTGACGGAGGAGGGCTGACTGAGTATATAATTGGAAGGAGGCTGGTCCACCTTCTGCCACATCCCCCCAGGCCATACCCCAGGTCCCTTGCTAAAGCCCAGGAACATTGCCCTGCTGGGTGGCACAGTGTGGCATAGACAGTGTGTGTAAGTTTGAGTGTGGCTAAAAGGAGGTCAACTCCAGGCACCAAAAAGTTTCATGTTGCTTATAACGGAATACCTGAAACTGGGCAATTTATAAGAAAATGAAATTTATTTCTTACAGTTTTGGAGGCTGGGAAGCCCAAGATAAAAGGGACACATCTGGTGAGGGCCTTCTTGGTGGGGACTTTCTAGAGTCCCGTGGCAATGCAGGGTATCACATAGTGAGGACCAATGCCTTTCCACATTTTCTCTTCCTCTTCTTATAAAGCACCCTGATAATCCATTAAACCATTTATCCAAGCATGGATTAATCCATGCACAAGGGCATAGTCCTCATGATCCAATCACCTCTTAAAGGCCCCAGCTTTCAGATACTATCCTCGGATTTCTGTTACAATGGGATAAAGCTTCAGTGAGTTTTGGGGAGACTGAAACCACAGCATGGGGGATCCACCAGCACCCCTGTCTGGCTGTGAGGCCTCCGTTTTGTGTGGCCTGTGCTGTATGTGAGAGACACTGCTGGGTTATCCATCGCCATCGTCACCCATGTGTGAACGAGCACATGATGGGGAGCACACTCCAGGACCTTGTGCCACGCACCCAAGTTCACATGTGGGTGATGGAACGCATGCACTGGTAACCCAGCAACCTTCTTGTGTCGTTTGGTAAAACGTACAGTCTGCACCAGTATTTCTCAGAATTTAGTCTCAAACCCGTTTACACTCTAAAAAATTATTGAGGATCTGGAAGAGTTTCTGTTTAAGTTTTTTGGGGTTCTACAAGGGTATTTGACAATGTTCTTGGAGATAGAATTAAAAGGTAATATGAATCTTTCCATGAACTTTTCAGAGTATTCTCATATCTATAGTTGCTTAACATATAGAAATTAAAATTGGGAAATTTTTTTGGCAGCTGGTCAGTATAGGGATTGAACCCTGGACCTTGGTGTTATCAGCACCACACTCTAACCAACTGAGCTAACCAGCCAGCCCCAAACTGGGAAACTTTAAAGCAAAGATGCACAAGCACTGCTATGGGTCCAATGTGTCCCCCAAAAGTTCATGTATTAGAAACTTAATTTGTACTTTAACAGTGCTAAGAAGGTGGGCAATCCAATTATGATATTTGAAAGGTGGGGCCTTTAAGAGGTGATCAGATTGTAAGGACTGTGTCCTTGTGAATGGATTGATGTCCATCCACGGAGTGGGGTGCGGTTCTGATGGCTTTAAAAGGAGAGCAGGTGAGGAGGTTAGCTCTCTCACACTCACCCATTCTCACCACGTGGTACCCTGAGGTGCTGTGGAAGGCGCTCACAAGATGCGTTCCTCGGACTTTGGACTTCCCAGCCTCTGAAACTGTAATAAATAAATTTCATTTCTTTATAAATTACCCAGTTTCAGGTATTCTAAGCAACAGAAACAGACTAATAAATGGACACAGGCCATTAGCCAGGACAATGATGTCACCATGTGTCACCAATCCTCAGGAAAACTCCACTGTACACTCATGAGAGAATAA